AAGTGATAAGCTACTCCGATATTTTCCAGATACAGATGGAAAGCTGTTTGCTCTTGTAACAAATCCTTTCAGTGTGGATGTTTGTGATGTACCTGAAGGCACCCAGGAACAATTTATTGATATGATCAACAGAAATGATATAAAAGCAGAGTTCTCAACCATGCCAAATAATCAGTTCTGGATCAGACGCAGAGTGTACTACCCACTTTTGTCAGAAGTTGTTTTGAGAATTTTACTTCAATTTCCAATGACTTTCTTGTGTGGATCAGGCTTCTTACATTTGCTTACAATTAAAAACAAATATTGAAATACATTAAATGTGGAAGATGATCTTCAATGCGCACTCACAACAATTCCGAGGATACAACAGTTAGCAAAGCAAATGCAAGCTCAACCATCCTATTAATTTAGGTTGAGGTGAAACTGTTTGGTAAAATACTAAATTTTACTTGTTTTTTTGAATAATGTGTATTATATTTCTAATATTTTTGGAACACCTGTTTGTGAGACTCCCAGACCCAGTGTGCCCCCCAGGCCCTGACTCCCAGCCCCTGAGTATGACTCCCAGAGTGTGACGCCCAGCCCTTGAGTGTGACTCCTAGCCCCTCCAGCCCCTGAGTGTGACTCTCAGGCCCTCCAGCTCCCTAGCCCCTCCAGTTCCTGAGTGTGGGGTTTAAGCCGGGGGAGCGGGGAGAGCGGTTTGGGGATGAGTGTCTTTCCCCCACCACAACTCAAATAAATGTAGTGTTATTATTTTATTATTAATGTATTTTCAGTTTTTCTATGAAATAACTACCATGAATATATAAACAGGAGGGGGGCACAATTTTATATTCTTGCCTCAGGCTCAAAATTAGCTATTTACGGCACTGCTCCCTCCTTCCTCACATTTTTGAATTGCCTTGGGTCACCAAGTCTTCCAGTTTGGCCAATATACATTGCAGAGGAGCATTGCTGACAGCAGAGGAGCATTGCTGACACTTGCTGGCATATATCACATTGGAGGATGTGCAGATGTATGAGCCTTTGATGTAATGGCTTATGTGATTAGGTCCTGTGATGGTGTCACTTGTATAGATTTGTGGGCAGGATGGGCCATTTTATTCTGCATCCAAATGATATCAAAAGCTAAATATGGGACACTTGCTGTCCACTCAATTAGCCTCATTTAGCACAGGCACTATAATTGTCAGGATTTTCCCCTCTCCCCCCTTCTTTTTCTGCTTTAAATTCGGGGGTTTCTTCTTTTTGCTCCACTCAACTGGAGAAGTGGGTTATGCCCACAAAAGCTCATGGTACTATATATATATATATATGTGTGTTAGTCTCTAAGATGCTACAGGACCACTTGTTTTATTAAGTGACAGACTAACATGGCTATCCCTCTGAGACTGCTAATCAGAAGAGTTTTTCAAAACTTACAAGAGTGACAAAAGAAAATCAAACATTTACTGTTGGATTCTTCAAAACAAAACACTAAAGTTAAAAATTCCTGACAGCAGTTTCTACTTCTTTCATTCTGATAATTTTCAAAGTTTCCCATCTCCACCTCTATACATACTATCTAATATTTAACAATCAAGACAAATGTTTTCTTGTGTTGATTTTTGTTTCATAGAGGAAAAATAATTTAAAAATTAATAATTGTGGAGAAGGCCCCCATTTCCAAAAATTCATTTTATATTTGGGGATGTATATTTATTAAATTATTTTGGATAAATATGGAATAATTACCCCTTTGCATAGCTTTTTCTCACTTTTCCTCTCTTCACAAATGCTACATTGACTCTTTTATCCAGTAATAACTATACCAGGCTCCTGTGAAAAAGGAAACTGAGAACTCTTTATCCCAAGAATTCAAAGTGTTTTACAAATATTAATAAAATCTCATAATAACTCTTAAGCAACACTCAGTGTGTCACAATTAAATATGAGGTGGAACAGAGTGTTTAGCATAAAAGACAAAAACAGCCTATTAACTGTGGGCAAACACTTTTCACAAAATAATCTCTATAATCTATATACATGTAGCATACATCTGGCTTCTCAACCCTTGTCCTCAGTGTAGTCCTGCACAACACCTTCAAACAACTAGCATGGGATTTTAATTAATAATTTTGCCAGATGTTAGCAGTCTTGGTTTTAATAAATCTGTAACCCACTTACTCTTCTCTTTTGTCTTATGTCTGCAGAGATGTTAACAGGGCATTTCCCTTAGAATATATGTTAATTACTTATGCTAATTAATCTGTTTAATCTCCTATTTAGCTCTGATATGCTGAGTAATTTCTTAGGATTGAAAAAGAACTCCATGCATCTCAGATGCTTGTCTCTTTCACCAATAGAAGTTGGTTCAATAAAACTTAGATATTTCCTCACCCATCTTTTCTTAATTACTTATAATTATAACTATAAGTTTTCAGAAAGAAGCTTGCAGGATTCAGGTCCTTTACATGTAATCATTGTCATCAAATTCATTTTTCACTACCAGGTTTTTTCATAAATCAATAGGAGAGAAAAGTTTTTAAAACAGAAAAATTTAGCTGTAAAATAAAAATTCACCTGATTGAGTAGATGTCTTACCTAAAACTAAGCTTAATTTATATTTGGATATTGACTAGAATTCAAGCTGATGCTCACGCTCAATCTCTCTGTGTTAATATAAGGTGATATAGGCTACATCTACACTGGCATGATTTTCCGAAAATGCTTTTAATGGAAAAGTTTCTAGATTGGCAGGACGCTTTTCCGCAAAAGCACTTCTCGCAGAAAAGCGTCTGTGGCCAATCTAGACGCGGTTTTCCACAAAAAAGTCCTGATCACCATTTTCGCGATCGGGGCTTTTTTGCGGAAAACAGTACTGTGCCGTCTACACTGGCCCTTTTGCGCAAAAGTTTTCGGAAAAAGACTTTTGCCCGAACGGGAGCAGCATAATATTTCCGGAAAAGCACTGATGATTTTACATGAGATCGTCAGTGCTTTTCCGGAAATTCAAGCGGCCAGTGTAGACAGCTGGCAAGTTTTTCCAGAAAAGCAGATGATTTTCCGGAAAAACTTGCCAGTCTAGACACAGCCCTAGACTACATGCTTCTTTTGGAAGAAGTTTTTTTCAGAAGAGATCTTCTAAAAAAACTTCTTCCAAAAGAGAAAGTCCACACTGCAAGAGTATATTGAAAAATTGATCTTCTTTTTCGAAAGAGAGCATCCAGACTGAATGGATGCGTTCTCACATGATTGCTATGGATGGAATGGCCATCAAGGCACCTGTGCTTTTTCCTCTTCTTCCGAAAGAACTCCCTCTTCTCTGTCCACACATGCCTTTTTGCAAAAGAGCTCTTTTGCAAAAATACTTCTTCCTTGTAGAATGAGGATTACCAATGTCGGAAAAACCCCTCTGTTCTTTAGATTTTCTTGAAGAAGAACGCAATGGGAATGCGTATGTTTCGCAAGTTTTGTTGGAAAAACTGCCATTTTTCCAGACCAGGGAGACGCTGAGCAAAGCCACAGAGGACCCGGCCGGACCCGCAGTGCTTCCAGCTGATCTGGAAGCGCCGCGGTCCGGCCCGGATCCTCCGCCGCTTTGCTCCGTGTCTCCCTGATCTGCTGGGGGGTGGGACACAGCTAGAGCCCTCCCCCAGCAGACCAGGGAGACGTGGAGCAAAGCCCGGGGCCTGTGGTAGAGCAGGTGGGGCACTGCTGGTTGGTCCCGCAGCACCGCTCCTTGGCGCTACTGGACCAACCCGGCAGCACCCCAGCTGCTCTGCCCCAGGCGTCCCCAAGT